GCTACTGGAGCAACTGGCACACTGGCTATCAAACATGCGAGGGCATCCAGACTACTGGAGTAACTGGCTCCGTGTCTACGACGAGCGGCTGGAGCAACGGACCCACGGGCGACTGGCGCAACGGGCTCACTAGCTAACGGAGCAAGGGCACGACCTTCTCCCCCACCCCGAAGATGACCACTCTTTGGGTACTGCTGCACGTTGCCGCTCAGCGTGACTACGAGCTTCACTCACTGGACTTCAGCACAGCCTTCTTACAGGGCAGCCTGCACGAGGAGATCTGGCTGCGCCGCCCACCTGGCTTCACTGGGTCGTTCCCGCCTGGTACCCAGTGGAGCCTCCGGCGGCCAGTCTACGGTCTCCGCCAGGCGCCTCGTGAGTGGCACGACACACTGAGGACTACACTTGCGGCTCTTGGGTTTGCTCCTTCGACTGCTGACCCGTCGCTGTTTCTGCGCACCGACACTTCCCTGCCGCCGTTCTACATCCTCGTGTACATCGACGACTTGGTCTTTGCCACTGCTGACACTGAGGCTCTCGCCCTGGTGAAGTCGGAGCTGCAGAAGAGACACACGTGTACTGACCTGGGTGAGCTGCGCAGTTACCTTGGCTTGTAGATCATCCGGGACCGAGCACGTCGCACCATCACACTGACTCAGTCACACATGGTGCAGCAGGTCCTTCAGCGCTTCGGCTTCACCTGGTCCTCGCCACAGGCCACTCCTCTGGCTACAGGTCACTCGCTCTCAGCTCCACATTCGGACGAGTCCGTAGAGCCGAGTGGTCCTTACCCAGAGTTAGTGGGCTGCCTCATGTACATGATGACCTGCACTCGTCTTGACCTTGCGTACCCTCTTGGCCTTCTGGCACGCTACGTGGCTCCTGGTCGACACCGAAAGGTGCACTGGGATGCCGCGAAGAGGGTGTTGCGTTACTTGTGCAGTACATCGGGCATGGGGCTCGTGCTTGGAGGGCGGAGAGACGTGGTCCTCACTGGGCACTCAAACGCTTCTTGGGTTGACGACCGGGCTACGCAGCGGTCGTCACAGGGTTACACTTTCAGCCTTGGCTCCGGTTCTGTTTCTTGGCGTTCTACTCGCTCGTCTTCTGTTCTCAGCTCCAGTTGTGAGGCTGAGATCTACGCCACTGCCATGGCTGCTCAGGAGTTACGCTGGCTCACTTACCTGCTGACCGACTTGGGAGAGCGGCCTCGTTCTCCTCCAGTTATGTACGTCGACAACAAGGCCGCCATTGCCTTGTGTGAGGAGCACAGACTGGAGCACAGAACGAAGCACATCGCTCTCCGTTACTTCCTGGCTCGAGAGTTGCAGCAGTGTGGTCAGCTTCGTCTTGCACACGTGGCCACTCAGGCCAACACTGCTGATATATTCACCAAGGCACTTCTGTCTGGTGATCATCAGCGCTTCTGTACTTTGTTGGGCCTTGTGCCTACGTTTCCACACTTGCTGTAGACTCTCTTTGTACTGTGATCCATATATATATATATATATATATATATATATATATATATACCTGCATGCTTGCTTTTGCTAGGTAGTGATCACTGTACTGTTCTTGTTGCATATATACCTCTGCATGTGAACTGGTCTTGTGGCCCTTTGCTTGTGCTCAGTGTGTGTGGTGACGTTGTGATCCACCCTGAGCTTGCTTTGCTTTTCTTGACTGGTCTTGTGACCCCTTGCTCTCCCCCACTTTGCCTATGGGGGTGTGTCAAATTATATATGTTATACTTGTGTAGGCTGTAGTGGGGTAGCCAATATGGGGTACAACCCCTCTAGGGTTTGTTACTTGTACCCAACCTTCTTTCAATGCACTCATTCCTGCCTAGACTTTCTAACACGAAACCGCCGCGCGCGCCCGGGGCGCGCGGCGGGCAGGAAACCGCCACGCGCCCCGAGCGCGTGGCGGGCAGAAAACAACCTCGCGCCCCAAGCGCGCGGCGGGAAGAAAAAAACGCCACGCGCGCAGGGCACGCGGCAGGCAGAAGACTCGGGCGCGCGACAGGTAGGACAGCAGCGAAAGCAGGTGGGCCCACAGGCCAGGAGCGTTCTCGCTCTGATAGCATGTCAGAATACAGTAGCGAGAAAGTTGAAACAGGAAAGAGGGGTTGCACTAGCAGCAGATAGGATACATATAGCAAACCCTAATTTGGGCTGTACTCACTATAGAGTGTCGGATTATGTTATTTGTCTAGCCTGCAGTGGGGTGCTCCATAGTGAGTACAACCCCTTAGGGTTTCCTATATGTATCCTGCTGCTTGCTAGTTCAATCATCATTCCCATTCTCACTTCTCCAATTCTCCTTCGTATACCCCAAACCCTAGTCCTAGGGCACAACCTACTACCTCCTAGTGTGGGCCTAGGCTACTAAGCCTAGGCCCCACTCCTAGTATTCCTGACATGGTATTCAGAGCAGGCACGTTCCTGCCGCCTTCCTGTATGGGCCCACCACCTGCTTCCGCTGCCGTACTGTCCGCCGCGCGCCCCGTGGTGCGCGGCGGCCAAACCCTAATTTTTCATCCCGCCGCGGCGGGCAGAAAACCGCCGCGCGCCTCGGGGCGCACGGCGGGCAGAAAACCGCCGCGCGCCTCGGGGCGCACGGCGGGCAGAAAACCGCCGTACCGCCCTCGTGCCTTGTGCCTTGTGCCTTGTGCTTCGTGCCTCGTGCCTCGTGCCTCGTGCATCGTGCGCCCTGCTCCGCGCTGTTGCTCTGCACGCGCGGTTGCCCGCGCCTTCGTGCGCTCTACCCTACCTGCTCCGCGCTGTTGCTCTGCACGCGCGGTTGCCCGCGCCCTCGTGCGCTCTACCCTACCTGCTCCGCGCTGTTGCTCTGCACGCGCGGTTGCCCGCGCCCTCGTGCGCTCTACCTACCTACCTACCTACCTACCTGCGCCCTCGTGCCTTGTGCCTTGTGCCTTGTGCTTCGTGCCTCGTGCTTCGTGCCTCGTGCCTCGTGCCTCGTGCATCGTGCGCCCTGCTCCGCGCTGTTGCTCTGCACGCGCGGTTGCCCGCGCCTTCGTGCGCTCTACCCTACCTGCTCCGCGCTGTTGCTCTGCACGCGCGGTTGCCCGCGCCCTCGTGCGCTCTACCCTACCTGCTCCGCGCTGTTGCTCTGCACGCGCGGTTGCCTGCGCCCTCGTGCGCTCTCCCGCCCCGCCCCCCCCCCCCCCCCCCCCTGCGTCCCCTGGACAGGAGGGTGTGGGGGTGGCGGGTGTGGGGGTGCTCCGTGTGCGTCGCCCCTTCCTTCTCCTCCGTCTCCCACTGCTGCAGCTGCCGCTGCGGGGGTGGATGTGTGGGAGACGAGGGAGTGGCGCTAGGGGGGTGATGTGGGCGTGGAGCGAGTGGTGACCCTGGGGGTGTGTGTAGGGGGGAGTGAGACAGTTGGAGGAGGTTGCAGCCTGGTGCTCCTGGTGCCCGTGTGTCTGCAACTTCAGTAGTCGCCTCCTCTCTTCTCTCCCTCCACAGTTCCTCCTCCTCCTCACTGGCCTCCTGTGACTGCCACTAGCTTTGCTGATAATTGTGAACTATTGCTGTGACTTCTCACGTGTGCTGATTACACCCCACTTTGGCTATGGGGGTGTGTCAGATTATGTTATTTGTCTAGCCTGCAGTGGGGTGCTCCATAGTGAGTACAACCCCTTAGGGTTTCCTATATGTATCCTGCTGCTTGCTAGTTCAATCATCATTCCCATTCTCACTTCTCCAATTCTCCTTCGTATACCACAAACCCTAGTCCTAGGGCACAACCTACTACCTCCTAGTGTGGGCCTAGGCTACTAAGCCTAGGCCCCACTCCTAGTATTCCTGACATAGAGTACCCCACTGCATACTAGACAATTATAACATTCTGACAGCGATAAGCTCTTTGGATAGTGTACTTTCCTCTTGCAATGAATTATACAGCAAACGGTGGGAGATTGTCAGAGGTCCACTGGTGATCCCCGATTGATCATAGGGAAGGGTTACAGGCACGTTGGCCTGGGGGGTTATGGGCGCACTCACCCGCTATACAAATAAGCCCTTTTATCCTAATGGTTAATGGTTGTGATTCTGACATGGTATTAGAGCGAAGGTCTCGGATTCGAATCCCGGTGTGTGCACCTCGGGCATCCCAGTGCGGGGGGGTGTCAGAGGTCCACTGGTGATCCCCAATTGATCCTAGGGAAGGGTTATAGGCACGTTGGCCTGGGGGGTTATGGGCGCACTCACCCGCTACACAAACAAGCCATTTTATCCCAGTGGTTAGTGGCTGGGATTCTGACAATTAGACCTGGGGTCTTATATTTTCTTTGTTGGTAATGGGTGCTTTCAAAGATAAACCCCTGGGGTCCACTAAACAGGCACTTAAAAATTACAAAGGTTAGAATTCCTAAGGCATCTCCGGAAGTGGGTGGATGGGGTGGAAGGGGGGATTAGGGTCCGAGTTTTCTGAATGGGCACCAATGGAAATTCTCATTTATGGTGAAACGAAAATGCTCACAACACAGACGCTGAAAGTGCCATGACTCACACATCAGTTGGGCGAGGCTGTGCCGTGAAAAGCTTTTCATAAAAGCAAGACTCAGGCAGCAGTGCTGCGCAAATGTTCAGCACGTTCTCAAAGCTTGAATGGCGAGGCGAAGCCTTCACAACTACCTATGGCAGAAGCAATTGGGAACATCATCACCAGATATGTTGGGACCAGACAAAGTTCACCAAACAAAAGTACCGTAACAAAAGGCCTGATCCTAGGCACATTGATGCAAAACAAATGCTAGTGTTTTTGCCGAAGGATAGATAGAAACCATTGAAGCATTTCCTCGTCATGACACTTGTAGCCACAACGGGAAATAAACTGTACAAGAGGATACCAATGCAGGTACACAACCGAAAGTGAGTTCGGTTCAAAATGAGATGACGCCTGTTTCAAGCGCAACACTGGATCCGCGCCGCTCATGCATGCGAGTGGTGGCGGTGGTGAGCGCATCAGAGAGAAGGGCTTCACATGGCAGCGCGGGCAGCAGAGGCAGCAGAGGCAGTCGGCAGCACTGGGCTGGGTCGCAGCCACACCGCTAGAGCTCCCTTGAGATGGCCCCTCACAAGAGCCAACGCCATTGGATCAGAGCAGGAGGAGTCGGCACCTGGGAATGAAACAGCGGTGAAGGACGGGAAGAAGAGAGCAGGAGCAAGGAGAAGGGAAGGCAGCGGCAGTGAGGATGTACGGAGTTGCTTAGCGGAGCGGGTGGCGCAGGGTGGGCTAGGGCTTGCATGCACGGTAGAGTGAAAGGTTTGTGATGGGGTTGGGTAGAGAGAGAAGGATAGAGAGCGGGAGCAAGAAGAGAAGAGCGAGTAAGAGGGGAGGGAGGGGAGGAGGAAGGGAGGATCACCGTGGGCGTGATGGTTGTTGAGCCAGGTGGGGCAGCCGCGCATGTCCACCCCGTGGCCACAGTTGTGACACTCCACCACCTCACTTGGCACTGCAACGGGGTGATGCAGGGGACAGGGGTATGGGGCATGGGTTATGGGGCATGTGCATGTGCTATGGGGCATGTGGTATGGAGCATGGGGTATGGGGCATGGGGTATGGGGCATGGGGTATGGGGCATGGAGTGTGGGACATGGGGCATGGGGTATGGGGCATGGGGTATGGGACATGGAGTGTGGGACATGGGGCATGGGGTATGGGGCATGGGGTATGGGACATGGAGTGTGGGACATGGGGCATGGGGTATGGGGCATGGGGTATGGGACATGGGGCATGGGGTATGGGGCATGGGGTATGGGACATGGAGTGTGGGACATGGGGCATGGGTCATGTTGCATGTGATGTGGGGTTATGGGGTACTGGGCATGATGAGGTGGAGAAATGGTTTGCAAAATTAGGATAAGAACTGCGTTGCTAGTTAAGGCAGTACCACGTGGTGGAAGCATCAGGAGAACACCAACGTAACAAGCACAGTACTGCAAGCCGTGCCAACGACCCACTCACTGGCAGCCGTGCCAACGATCCACTCACTGGCAGCCGTGCCAACGATCCACTCACTGGCAGCCGTGCCAAGGAGTCGTGAGGCGCGCTTCCAAGGGTCCTGCGACCCGTTGGTGAAGTAGATGCGCGACGCTGCGGAGGGGGGAGGGGGTAGGGTGTAGGGGTAGTGGGGAGGAAGAAGGCGGGAGGGGGGAGGGGGGAGGAGGGGTGAGGATGGGCATGAACATGCCGAGGCACGAAAGGGTGATGCTGAGGGATGAGATGCATGGAAGCACGAGCAACGTGCAAAGCACAAAACAACCAGGAAGTGAAGGAAAGTAAGAAGTAGCGGCATGAGGTGCGAGTGGTTGAGATTGACAAGCGATGGCAGTGGCGCCAAAGAAGGTGTTGGTGGCGTCCACGTCGGGGAAGAGCGCACGTGGGTGGTCCCCGTACACCGCAGCGCACAGCCCCTGCCAGTAGCTGCGGTGAGGTGCGTGGAGGCAGGGCAGGAGACACACTGCTGTGAGCACACTGCCCAGGAAAGAGCTGAAAACAAAGAAGGGAGGGTGGTGCGATGGCACCACAAGAGCACACGAGGCAGCAAAATATCTGACATGAAAAGATCTCACTTCACCATCACACCTCACTTCACCATCACACCTCACTTCACCATCACACCTCACTTCACCATCACACCTCACTTCACCATCACACCTCCCATTCACCACCGCACCTCATGTTCAAAGCATTGGATCGAATTTGAGGGCCGAGGCGGGCGGGTGTCTGGAAGAAGGCCATTTGCGAGCAGCACTGGTACAGCCACGTGCGCATGTCTGCAGGATGCAAGGAAAGGGTTACATTCGATGCACAGGAAAGGAGCATAAGAAAACAATCAATGGGAAATGGGCCTTGGGAAGGTGCTGGCAGGTTTGAGCATAACACAAATGGGAATTGTGTTCTGGCGCCGTGAAAGACGCAGTTAGCCTGTCAGCACTGTGGACGGAGAAGAGCGAATAAGTGCATCACGAACAGTTTGCAGCAGAGCGAAAGAATCAAGGCTCCTGGATAACAGGAGGTGAAGGCCCACTTCCTGATATCCCCCATGCCTAGGCTCACCTTCACTGTCGCAATACAGGCAGCAGGAGGCAGGGTACCATGAGTGGAGAGGAAGGGCACGCAAAGCAGCACAAGTGTGAGACGCAGCAGCAGCAGCATGGGGAGCGGACTGACTGGCAGAGCGGGCTGTGAGTGATGTGTTGGCGAGGGCGTGGCGGTCGTAGTCAGAAGGGGCCGATCCGAAGTGAGCGAAGAACAGGTCACGCACGTAGGTTGCAAAGGCCTCCTGATGACATGGGCGCAACGGGTGGAGGGGAGGGGAGGGAGGAAAGTGGTCTGTGCAGGGAGGAAAGTGGTCTGTGCAGGGAGGAAAGTGGTCTGTGCAGGGAGGAAAGTGGTCTGTGCAGGGAGGAAAGTGGTCTGTGCAGGGAGGTAAGTGGTCTGTGCAGGGAGGAAAGTGGTCTGTGCAGGGAGGAAAGTGGTCTGTGCAGGGAGGAAAGTGGTCTGTGCAGGGAGGAAAGTGGTCTGTGCAGAGAGGAAAGTGGTCTGTGCAGGGAGGAAAGTGGTCTGTGCAGGGAGGTAAGTGGTCTGTGCAGGGAGGAAAGTGGTCTGTGCAGGGAGAAAAGTGGTCTGTGCAGGGAGGAAAGTGGTCTGTGCAGGGAGGAAAGTGGTCTGTGCAGAGAGGAAAGTGGTCTGTGCAGGGAGGAAAGTGGTCTGTGCAGGGAGGAAAGTGGTCTGTGCAGGGAGGAAAGCGGTCTGTGCAGGGAGGAAAGTGGTCTGTGCAGGGAGGAAAGTGGTCTGTGCAGGGAGGAAGAAACACTCTGGTGGGACACAGGCAGTCGTCACACACCGAACCGCTCGTGGGAAAGTTGCTCATTTGGGCATGAGTGCAAGTGAGAATGAACATCAGAATAAACATAGATCAACGCACCAAGCTTCCAGCCCAACAGTGAGCACAGAGAAAGACCATGGCATCACATCCCAGCATACCATGGCATCACATCCCAGCATAGCATGGCATCACATCCCAGCATACCATGGCATCACATCCCAGCATACCATGGCATCACCTCCCAGCATACCATGGCATCACATCCCAGCATACCATGGCATCACCTCCCAGCATACCATGGCATCACATCCCAGCATACCATGGCATCACATCCCAGCATACCATGGCATCACATCCCAGCATACCATGGCATCACATCCCAGCATACCATGGCATCACATCCCAGCATACCATGGCATCACATCCCAGCATACCATGGCATCACCTCCCAGCATACCATGGCATCACATCCCAGCATACCATGGCATCACCTCCCAGCATACCATGGCATCACATCCCAGCATACCATGGCATCACATCCCAGCATACCATGGCATCACATCCCAGCATACCATGGCATCACATCCCAGCATACCATGGCATCACCTCCCAGCATACCATGGCATCACATCCCAGCATACCATGGCATCAGAGCCCGTGGCATGAGCGTGGATGAGGGGGTCACACAGCTGGTCCGGGCGGCCGTACTGAAACTGAAGAGAGAGACGCCGGTGTGAGGGGTGGAAAGATGACAAGAAGCGATTGGATGGAAATATACAAGGGGCGAATCACGGAGCAAAGGGAGAAAGAAGGTAATGCAGTGATAGAATTGGTGAGTGCAGGAGCGAGGTGGGGAAAGAGAAGGCACGTGGATAATGAGATGAGAAGGCACGTGGATAATGAGATGAGAAGGCACGTGGATAATGAGATGAGAAGGCACGTGGATAATGAGATGAGAAGGCACGTGGATAATGAGATGAGAAGGCCAAAAGCAAATTACATACCAAGCAAGTCATGAGGTACACAACTCATAACAGGTATATGAGTGCATAACAGGTATATGAGTGCATAACAGGTATATGAGTGCATAACAGGTATATGAGTGCATAACAGGTATATGAGTGCATAACAGGTATATGAGTGCATCTCGCATGCAGCAGCATGCAGGTAGGCTTACTGGTATGGGTCACGTGTGGCTTACTGGTATGGGTCACGTGTGGCTTACTGGTATGGGTGCACGTGTGGCTTACTGGTATGGGTGCACGTGTGGCTTACTGGTATGGGTGCACGTGTGGCTTACTGGTATGGGTGCGCGTGTGGCGTACCGCAAAGACAGCAGCGTCTGCAAGGAGGAAGAGGAAGTCCCCATCGTGCTCCACCTGGCAAGGCGCACATGGAGAGGGCGGGCAGGGCGCACATGGAGAGGGCGGGCACACAGAGAGTCACGCAAGGAGCAGCGTGGAGGGTGCAGTGATACTCTGAGAGACAGGCCTGCAGGCGAGGAGGACGAGAGGCAAGGGAGCAGAGTGCAGAGAGTGTGCAGTACAATGTACGCTAGCCATCTCTCCTGACCCAACAAAAACTCGCATCAGAAGGCACATGCAAAGTAAAAGGGAAAACATGTCGAGAGTGGAATTTGAACCCACGCCCTTCCGGACTGGAACCTTAATCCAGCGCCTTAGACCAACTCGGCCATCTCGACATTGCACCCACATCTGGTAACCATTATTTTGCTTTCTCAAGGGACGAAGACAAGGAGGGACAGGGAGATTGGGTGAGTATTGAAACTTTAGGCAAAATGAGAGAGCACATAGAGAGTGGCACGAGAGTGCAAGTGAGGGCAGAGAGAGGACGCACAGAGGCAGCGGCGAAGAGCTGCTTGACAGCCTGGCGGTCCTCCGGTGACGATGCGAGGCGGTGCTCCACACGGCGGGTGATGTTGGCGAGGATGGCAGAGCACTGGAGGCCTGCTGACTGCACCACCTGGTGGCCGGGGAGAGGGCGTGAGGGCAGACGGTCGGGGAGGGGCGGGAAGTGTGAAAGCAAAGTGCGTCAGAAGAAAGAAAGGAATTTGCATTTGTTAATTGCTATAAGATCTTCTCATGTTACATGCAACGGGAGCACATCCAGCACACAAGAAACGCTCAGCCAGCCTGTGATGACAGCATGGGGAATGGCTGGGATGGCACACAAGGAATCGACAAGCAGATGCTTGCAACAACATCCCCTTACTCCAATTTCCTGGCCACATAGAAGGCGTACCTTAGAAGTTTAGACTGTGATCCTGTCGCGCTGGCACTCCTCGTGAACACCATCGTCCCTAACACAGTCTGCAGTTTGTCCTACAGCATACATCCGCATTATTGCTGCAACCCTCTAGGGCATGATGATAAGGGCGTGTCCCACGCGTTCGTTTACAGTTCGTTCTGAGGATTGTAACCCTATTTTCCGTTGGTAACCATTGGGCATAAGAAACTGTAGAGTTGTGTTGTCCATGACGCGCCATAATGATGCGATGTGGACGTCTACAGAATCGTAATACACACGTTCAAAAACCGCTACCGTGGTACGTGAATTCACCTCGTACCGCGTCCTGCGGCCCATTACCCCAATATGTGAATTCGCCAATCTCCCAGTCGCGCGAAAAGAACGACCGTCGCAAGGGGTCCCGTGTCGCACCCCAACACCTCCCAGCCGATTAGATTCGCAACTGGGGCGGGTTACCGCTCGTGGCCCATGCCAATTGTGAATCGGCTGACGTTTTTTTTGTGGGCGAGGCTATGCGTCCCCATGGTGCAATTTCGTTTGGCGCAGTGCTGACTCGAGGCGGTTTTCTTACGTCAGAGTGTACACTCTTTAGATGACTCGAAGTTACGTAAAAAACAAGGATTTTTCCCAAAACGAACTCGTGGGACACGCCCTAATCGCAGCCCCTCAGCATTGAAACACCTCCCCTCACCCATAACGGCACTGATACCCACCCTCACCCGCCCCTCACCCGCCCCCCTCCCGCCCCTCACCCGCCCCCCTCCCGCCCCTCACCCACCCCTCACCTGCGCCTCGAACTCATGGAAGTCCTTAATGACGTTGATGACCGCGGAGGAGGCAAGGCTGGCGCGGAAGAGGTGCGGGTAGGACAGGCGCGCCCACGCACTCAGAGCACCCGCGTACGACACGCCCGTCACCACCCACTGCCGCTCGGAGGCCCCATTGCTGCCGCCACGCGTGCTGCTGCTGTGAGAGCCGTTGAACAGCCGGTCCAGCCGTTGCTGCGGTCACACAGGAAAATAGATACTGTAGGATTTCCCAGACTTCTCAAAAATCAATCACAAGGGCAGCAAGAAAGAAAAAACGAACAACAAGTTTGAGGGGGAGAGGCACGAGCAACAAAAGCAAGTGGAAAGAGGTAATCACAGGTGTCCCCATGGCAGGGGGGTCTCCCTTAACCTCGGCTCGCAACCTCAGCTCACCTGGTAGAATTGTCGAAACGTTGCCAGGTCAGCCAGTGCCTGATTGGCCGAGAGATATGCCAGGCTGGCAGTGGACAGGTCAGCGAAGGGCTGCGATTGGCCGTAGAAGCGGTGCTCCAACGCCACCACGGCCGCCCCAAAATGAGCGGCGAGCTCCTGCGAGACGAGAGGCAGGCGGGTGAGACGAGGTGTGGAAGACGCGTTGAGATTGGAATGACGATAGGCGGGTGGGTGCGAAGTGGAGAGAGGGGATACAAGGGCGAGAGAATCACAAGGGTGGAAGGGAGTGACGGAGTAAGAGAGACAAGAGAGGGGAGAGACGGAGTAGGAGTGACACGGAGGTAGGGCAGGCGAGGGCGAGGGAGAGCGGTGCACCATGCGGTAGTCGGAGGGCACTGTACCATGCGGTAGTCGGAGGGCACGCCGTTGCATGGCGCCTCGCCGCAGATGACGAGCATCACGGGGCCGCCCGCAGCGGCGTTGAAGTGCGTCAAGTCCTCGTGGTAGCGCTGCTGGAAGGTGCGCCCGTCCTGCCACGTGGCATGCAGAAGCAAGCACATCCATGCACCCCTCCATGCGTTGCCACGCGTCATGTGAGTTGGCATGGTAGGCGATAAGAGTTAGTATGGCATATAGGACTAACTCCTTGGCTCTAGCAAACCTCCTTCAGCTTCTGCCCTCCGGTACGTACGGCGGGATTGAAGTGGTCCAGCGTCTGCTCGAACCATAGCTCGCCACGTCCGCTCGCTCCCGCCGCGCCTCGCTGCTCGGCGGCTTCCGCATCGCTCGCAGCGAGCCCCTGCCGCGGCGTGGCTGCTGCGGTGAGGCGCGCCTCGTGCGCGAGGTACAGACGGTCGGACGCGGCGGCTGCGACCGCGAGGAGATTAAGGGCGAGAAGAGCCGCGAGGGAAAGCAGGAGAGGATGACGCGACGCGACCCTAACACGAGAGGTGAACCTCGGAGGCGGATTGGGAGGAGCCATGGCGGGCAGATCTGGACAGAGGGTGCAAGAACGGATGGCGTCTGGCATGTGGGGCACGGAAATCGAATTTGCCATGCATGAATGCGCGGTTGAGACTCGTTCGGTATTGGTTTTGACCCTCGAAGTCCTTCCATGTTCAGCGCTTACTTAAAAGGAAAAATGTTTTTTGTGCCATTGTGAACCAGACCTGTACATACACTTCATAAATATCTTCTGCTGTTTCACCAAAGCCACAGTCTCAGTTTAAATGCTCAAAACCCCTCTTGTGTCTTACAAACAGCTTGCATTTTCTCAGGGGGTGAAAGCAAAGTGTGTTATCACAAGGCGCAATCCCCAACCGGTTGGCACTTCATTAAACACGGTACTCTAACCTACCGATCACATGTATTGCAAATGAAGCGAGATTTCAGTACCGTACAGGGGATGGGACCCCCTGGCTGGAGTATCCAAATTGGTCCACCTGGGTGAGCCAATTGCCGTAGTCTAACCTCCAAATTGTGCAGCTTGGTCCCAACCGTCGTGCCTGCACTTGTTCTGACGAAGAGGCCCAGCAGGGGGTCACCCTACTGGTGACCCTCCAGGACCATGCCATGTATAAATGACTGGGTTGGCTCTGCACTTTTGGCATAGTGCCCTGCCAGAGGCTAATAGCCGGTGAAGTGCACCACCATCAGTGGAGCGTCATCTCATGGCCCACGACCCCAGCACGTCTCTTAGCGCACCCCCATCCCCTTGCACCATGCTCCACCGGTTCACCAGAGTGGCGCAGTGCATGCGATCGCGGTACAGAAACGGCTTCACCGCTGCGTTCTGCTGCGCCACTTGCCTCGCCAGCCCCGCCACGCGGATGGCATACGCCAGCGCCATGCCCACGTCCTCCTTGGCGCACTGCCCCTTGCCGCCGCCCGCCATGCTGGCAAGGCAGCGGCGGAGGCGGCGGCGCGTGGGGGAGTGGAGGTTGAGGAGGTTGATGGCGTCGGCATCGTGCACGGAGTTGACCAGCAGCAGCGGCGTGGTGACGTACCGCAGCCCGTGCTCCGGGAAGAAGCACCGCCACCGCCCGTCAGGACCCTCTCCTGGACACATGCACGTGGAGAGTGCGTGGGGGCAGGCGGACTTGAGGGAGAGCGTGAGGGCCAAGCATATGGATGCCAGCTTCGAGGCAGACCATAACCACCGTGCAGGGGTTGGCAGGGCATACAAGGGGCGGCAGGGCATACAAGGGGCGGCAGGGCATACAAGGGGCGGCAGGGCATACAAGGGGCGGCAGGGCATACAAGGGGCGGCAGGGGTGACCTTTAAGGCAGTCAGGGTCGGCGGAGATGTTGTGGATGGCGACGAGGCGCTGCGCCACCTTGCGCATGAAGAATGTGCCGCTCACATCCCGCATGTCTGTCAAGGGGGGAGAGCGGGTGTTGCCAGCCAGCCCGTGGGTGAGTGGGTGAGTGCAGTGCAGTGCAGTGCAGTGCAGTGCACGCATATCTCATCACTTCTGCCCCCTCCCAATTACTCCCCCATTTCTGAAAAGATGTGGCGTAGTCTGGACGCACAACCCCCTGCTACGTCCTGCACCCTCTCCTCTTTCCATCCCCATTTCCCTCCCCCTAGACTCTGCATGCATGGCGAGCAGCTGGGCGCACCGGGGAAGAAGCCGCCGTCCATGATGCAGCGCTTGGCGGCGGCCGTGGGCAGCAGGCGGGCGAGCGCGTCGCACTGCATGGCCACCGCCTGTGCGCCCGCTGAGCACCCCGCCACCACCACCCGCTGCGCACCCTGCATCCCCCGCGCCACCCGCATGTCTGCTCCGCCAGGGGAAGGGGGAGGGAGGGAGGGGGGGGGAGGGGGGGGTTGGATGGCAAGGCGAGCAGGTGGTGATGCAAAATGGATGAGAGGGAGGGAGGTGAAGTGGTGGGGATGGAGCAGCGCCGATGGACAGGTGGTGTGCACCAGACGTGCAGCTCCACGCTGCGGGCGGGCGGGTGGCCGCCGTGCTGTTGCTGCGAGCCCGGTGGACAACAAGTGATGGGACGTGGGGAGTGCGAGCATTCACGGTCACGGGATTGAGGGCCAACACGACCGGTGATTTGGTGGGCGATGGGTGGAAATTCTTAGACTGGTGCATACGGATATTCAAGGACGGTCGAGGGCAGTCCAGCACGGCCGTGTGCCGATGCAGGGCGTGGCAGTGCGGGGCGAGAGGCGCACTCACGGCGTGGCAGTGCGGGGCGAGAGGCGCACTCACGGCGTGGCAGTGCGGGGCGAGAGGTGTGAAGCACTCACGGCGGATGACGGACTTGAGGATGCTTCTGCCGCCCGCCACTAGCGACGAGGACCGAGAGGCGTTGAAGCCGCCGCGCGTGCCGGAGAAGGCGGCGCCGTCGCAGTAGGCGATGAGCACGACGTGCCAGTTGAAGAAGCGCGGGTTGACCGCTGCGCTGCCGTGCAGCATGCCGTCAATGCCGTACCCCGTCAGGCGCTTCAACTGTCGCCGCAAAGGAGGCACGCAATGGGTGGGAGGAAAAGGGGATGGCATCACTACCCTTGCTGCCGCTGTGCAGCATGCCGTCCATGCCGTACCGTAGGGGGGCACACATGCGATGGGCGGACAAGCGGATGGCTATCACTCCCGCGCTGCCGCTGCGCAGCATGGCGCATGGCTGTGCCCCATTGTTCTCGCGCTGGTGGGCGGAGGGATCCACAGGAGGGAGGCACAGCGGATCACAAGGGATCCACAGGAGGGAGGCACAGCGGATCACAAGGGATCCACAGGAGGGAGGCACAGCGGATCACAAGGGATCCACAGGAGGGAGGCACAGCGGATCACAAGGGATCCACAGGAGGGAGGCACAGCGGATCACAAGGGATCCACAGGAGGGAGGCACAGCGGATAACAAGGGATCCACAGGAGGGAGGCACAGCGGATAACAAGGGATCCACAGGAGGGAGGCACAGCGGATCACAAGGGATCCACCGGAGGGAGGCACAGCGGATCACAAGGGATCCACCGGAGGGAGGCACAGCGGATCACAAGGGATCCACCGGAGGGAGGCACAGCGGATCACAAGGGATCCACAGGAGGGAGGCACAGCGGATCACAAGGGATCCACAGGAGGGAGGCACAGCGGATCACAAGGGATCCACAGGAGGGAGGCACAGCGGATCACAAGGGATCCACAGGAGGGAGGCACAGCGGATCACAAGGGATCCACCGGAGGGAGGCACAGCGGATCACAAGGGATCCACCGGAGGGAGGCACAGCGGATCACAAGGGATCCACAGGAGGGAGGCACAGCGGATCACAAGGGATCCACAGGAGGGAGGCACAGCGGATCACAAGGGATCCACAGGAGGGAGGCACAGCGGATCACAAGGGATCCACAGGAGGGAGGCACAGCGGATCACAAGGGATCCACAGGAGGGAGGCACAGCGGATCACAAGGGATCCACAGGAGGGAGGCACAGCGGATCACAAGGGATCCACAGGAGGGAGGCACAGCGGATCACAAGGGATCCACCGGAGGGAGGCACAGCGGATCACAAGGGATCCACAGGAGGGAGGCACAGCGGATCACAAGGGATCCACAGGAGGGAGGCACAGCGGATCACAAGGGATCCACAGGAGGGAGGCACAGCGGATCACAAGGGATCCACAGGAGGGAGGCACAGCGGATCACAAGGGATCCACAGGAGGGAGGCACGGCGGATCACAAGGGATCCACAGGAGGGAGGCACGGCGGATCACAAGGGATCCACAGGAGGGAGGCACGGCGGATCACAAGGGATCCACAGGAGGGAGGCACGGCGGATCACAAGGGATCCACAGGAGGGAGGCACGGCGGATCACAAGGGATCCACAGGAGGGAGGCACGGCGGATCACAAGGGATCCACAGGAGGGAGGCACGGCGGATCACAAGGGATGCACAGGAGGGAGGCACGGCGGATCACAAGGGATCCACAGGAGGGAGGCACGGCGGATCACAAGGGATGCACAGGAGGGAGGCACGGCGGATCACAAGGGATCCACATGAGGGAGGCACGGCGGATCACAAGGGATCCACAGGAGGGAGGCACGGCGGATCACAAGGGATCCACAGGAGGGAGGCACGGCGGATCACAAGGGATCCACAGGAGGGAGGCACAGCGGATCACAAGGGATCCACAGGAGGGAGGCACAGCGGATCACAAGGGATCCACAGGAGGGAGGCACAGCGGATCACAAGGGATCCACCGGAGGGAGGCACAGCGGATCACAAGGGATCCACGGGAGGGAGGCACAGCGGATCACAAGGGATCCACCGGAGGGAGGCACAGCGGATCACAAGGGATCCACCGGAGGGAGGCACAGCGGATCACAAGGGATCCACCGGAGGGAGGCACAGCGGATCACAAGGGATCCACAGGAGGGAGGCACAGCGGATCACAAGGGATCCACAGGAGGGAGGCACAGCGGATCACAAGGGATCCACAGGAGGGAGGCACAGCGGATCACAAGGGATCCACAGGAGGGAGGCACAGCGGATCACAAGGGATCCACAGGAGGGAGGCACAGCGGATCACAAGGGATCCACAGGAGGGAGGCACAGCGGATCACAAGGGATCCACAGGAGGGAGGCACAGCGGATCACAAGGGATCCACAGGAGGGAGGCACAGCGGATCACAAGGGATCCACAGGAGGGAGGCACAGCGGATCACAAGGGATCCACAGGAGGGAGGCACAGCGGATCACAAGGGATCCACAGGAGGGAGGCACAGCGGATCACAAGGGATCCACAGGAGGGAGGCACAGCGGGTCACAAGGGATCCACAGGAGGGAGGCACAGCGGGTCACAAGGGATCCACAGGAGGGAGGCACAGCGGATCACAAGGGATCCACAGGAGGGAGGCACAGCGGATCACAAGGGATCCACAGGAGGGAGGCACAGCGGATCACAAGGGATCCACAGGAGGGAGGCACAGCGGATCACAAGGGATACACAGGAGGGAGGCACAGCGGATCACAAGGGATCCACAGGAGGGAGGCACAGCGGATCACAAGGGATCCACAGGAGGGAGGCACAGCGGATCACAAGGGATCCACAGGAGGGAGGCACAGCGGATCACAAGGGATCCACAGGAGGGAGGCACAGCGGATCACAAGGGATCCACAGGATCACAAGGGATCCACAGGAGGGAGGCACAGCGGATCACAAGGGATCCACAGGAGGGAGGCACAGCGGATCACAAGGAATCCACAGGAGGGAGGCACAGCGGATCACAAGGAATCCACAGGAGGGAGGCACAGCGGATCACAAGGGATCCACAGGAGGGAGGCACAGCGGATCACAAGGGATCCACAGGAGGGAGGCACAGCGGATCACAAGGGATCCACAGGAGGGAGGCACAGCGGATCACAAGGGATCCACAGGAGGGAGGCACAGCGGATCACAAGGGATCCACAGGAGGGAGGCACAGCGGATCACAAGGGATCCAGAGGAGGGAGGCACAGCGGATCACAAGGGATCCACAGGAGGGAGGCACAGCGGATCACAAGGGATCCACAGGAGGGAGGCACAGCGGATCACAAGGGATCCACAGGAGGGAGGCACAGCGGATCACAAGGGATCCACCGGAGGGAGGCACAGCGGATCACAAGGGATCCACAAGAGGGAGGCACAGCGGATCACAAGGGATCCACAGGAGGGAGGCACAGCGGATCACAAGGGATCCACAGGAGGGAGGCACAGCGGATCACAAGGGATCCACAGGAGGGAGGCACAGCGGATCACAAGGGATCCACCGGAGGGAGGCACAGCGGATCACAAGGGATCCACAGGAGGGAGGCACAGCGGATCACAAGGGATCCACAGGAGGGAGGCACAGCGGATCACAAGGGATCCACAGGAGGGAGGCACAGCGGATCACAAGGGATCCACAGGAGGGAGGCACAGCGGATCACAAGGGATCCACAGGAGGGAGGCACAGCGGATCACAAGGGATCCACAGGAGGGAGGCACAGCGGATCACAAGGGATCCACCGGAGGGAGGCACAGCGGATCACAAGGGATCCACAGGAGGGAGGCACAGCGGATCACAAGGGATCCACAGGAGGGAGGCACAGCGGATCACAAGGGATCCACAGGAGGGAGGCACAGCGGATCACAAGGGATCCACAGGAGGGAGGCACAGCGGATCACAAGGGATCCACCAGAGGGAGGCACAGCGGATCACAAGGGATCCACAGGAGGGAGGCACAGCGGATCACAAGGGATCCACAGGAGGGAGGCACAGCGGATCACAAGGGATCCACCGGAGGGAGGCACAGCGGATCACAAGGGATCCACAGGAGGGAGGCACAGCGGATCACAAGGGATCCACAGGAGGGAGGCACAGCGGATCACAAGGGATCCACAGGATCACAAGGGATCCACAGGAGGGAGGCACAGCGGATCACAAGGGATCCACAGGAGGGAGGCACAGCGGATCACAAGGAATCCACAGGAGGGAGGCACAGCGGATCACAAGGAATCCACAGGAGGGAGGCACAGCGGATCACAAGGGATCCACAGGAGGGAGGCACAGCGGATCACAAGGGATCCACAGGAGGGAGGCACAGCGGATCACAAGGGATCCACAGGAGGGAGGAACGGCGGATCACAAGGGATCCACAGGAGGGAGGCACAGCGGATCACAAGGGATCCACAGGAGGGAGGCACAGCGGATCACAAGGGATCCACAGGAGGGAGGCACAGCGGATCACAAGGGATCCACAGGAGGGAGGCACAGCGGATCACAAGGGAT